TGGAAAAATGAGCTGACACCAAGGGCTCAAGTGGAAAGCGGGTGTTTTAAGAATGATGAAGTCAATATATGTACTAATGTGCTGGATACAAATGACGTATGTACAGATTGTGATGAGTTGTATGAGCCCCTAATAAAATGATTATTTAATTAAAAACAAAAAAGAAGTGGTGGGATAAATTATGATTTACATAATGAACTTTAAAAAACCCATTACCCACGGCCATCATATCAATTCTGACTCATAGTGATCTTAAGGGACAGAGTAGAAAGCCCTATGAAGTCTCCAAGGCTATACATCTTTATGGAAACATACTGCAACTTGTTTCTCCCTCAGAGCAGCTGGTAGTTCTAATTGAAGACCTTTCTGTTGGCAGGTGAGTGCTTTAACCACTGAGCCACAGGGATATCTATTTAATGAAATACTGAGGGAAAAATGATAATTAACTACTCCTACACAAAATAGATGATGATAAGTCAAAGAAAACAGACACCAGGTTGAATCCTTGTATTGTATGATTCCATTTATATGCCCGTCAAGAACAGGCAACACAAGGCTGTGACAATATCAGTCAAAACAGTCATTCGCTTCTAAAGCAGCGGTTCTTAACCTTTGGGGACCGGGTGACCCTTTCACAGGGGTCGCCCAATTCATTACAGTAGCAAAATTATAGTTATGAAGTAGCAACAAAAATAATGTTATGGTTGGGGGGTCACCACAACATGAACTGGATTAAAGGGGTATGGCATCAGAAAGGTGAGAACCACTGTTTTAAAGTAATGTTATGAACTATAAAGAAGTGCTAAAGAGTCTTCGGCGGTGTTAACCTGCTATATTTTGATCTGTGTGGTGGTTATATTATCTATTACACATGTGTAAAAATTCAGAACATTGCCAAGGGTTTGTTTTGTTGTGCTTCTTCTTCCTTGTCCTATTTGTCATTTCAGCATTGATAAAATAGGTTTATATTTATGAATTTGTTTGGTCACAAGAAATGGGAAGGGGAAGCGCAAATAAAGAATAATCCATACTCTTCAAAATAGCTTCCAAAGTTTTTCAACAATCAGTTTTGGGCACATACAGGACCC